CACCCCCCCAGGCCTGGCTGATGGGGAAAGTCCTGCCCTGGGGGCAAAGTGCCCCCTTACCTGCAGGCGCCACCCCGAGGTCGTGCTTTTTCCTTGAGCATCTTGTTCTAGATACCTCATCCCTCAAGCACCCTACTCGGCCACCTTTGAGAACCCTCTTCCCGCTTGGGGTCGCTTCTGGAGAAGCGGGGCGGGTTCCCTCACGGGTCCCGGAGGCTGACGTCCCTTTCCCCACTCCGTGAGCAGGTTCAGCGCCTGGGCTGCCGTGTTTGGGGTCACCCGCCTCTTCATCCTCACCCTCGCTGTGCTGGCCATCGGCTTTGGGCTGGCTCGCATGGAGAACCAGGCCTTTGACCCCGAGAGGGGGAACTTCAACACTTTACTCTGCAGGTGAGTTGGGCAGAAGCCCGAGGCGATAAAGCAGGGCTCCCCGAGTGCTGCTGGGGGAACTTGGCACAGCTTCCGCGGAAGGTCAGACCCAAGTCTCCCGCACATTGATATTTAGCTGGAAATCTCTGGACGCCAGGCCTGAGGGCAGAAGAGAGACCAGCCTTCTGCTCCTATCAAAACCCCCTTCCCTTCCTGGCCCCGCCCGCTCAGACTGCAGTCGGGGTCCCAGTCAAACTGGAGTCTCCTCACCTGGTCCAGCCTCTCAGCTGACTGTCACAACCACTGTCACTTGGGCTCTTTACAGCCATGTTCTCAACGGTTTGGCCAGTGGCCTCCCGTGGCAGCAAGGCAGGCAGCGAGGAAGCCGTTGTGTCTCATGAGACCCTTGGGCCTGGGGGGGCGCCTGCTTTGTCTAGGGTTGCTTAGCGTGTGAGTGGCTCGCTAGATGAGAAGCCACTCTTCTAGAATTATTTCTGCTATATCATAATTCATTTGAATTCTTCCAGTATATATGGAGCTTACATGAGTCGTGTTCTGTGCTGTGGGCACAAAGCCCGTGGATGCCCGTCAGGCCTGGGGACCGTGACTGTGGAGCTGGACGCGCGTCTGTCCTCCTTCCCGGTCTCTCTAGCCCCTGTCCCTCCGTCACCACCCCTCAAGTGTGCTAGCGCAGAGATTGGCCCCGAGATTGGCGCTCTCCCCGGTGGTGGTGGTGGGATGGGGGCGTGCCGACGCTGAGGGTGGCGGGAGCTCGGCTTCCTGGCCCCGTCTCCCCATCTGCCCGGGGCTGTGGGCCCGCCCGCAGCCCTGAGCCCACACTGTGCCCTCTGCAGGCTCTGCGTGCTGCTGCTGGTGTGTGCCGCCCAGGCCTGGCTCATGTGGCGCTTCATCCACTCCCAGCTGCGGCACTGGCGGGAGTACTGGAACGAGCAGAGCGCCAAGCGGAGAGTCCCGGCTGTCCCCAGACTGCCAGCCAGGCTCATCAAGAGGGAAGCCGGTGAGTGCCGGGCCGCGGCCAGGCAGCAGGTGAAGTCTGGCTCCATGGGCTCTACCCGACCAGTGCCGCCACTCCTCCGCCCTGACCGCTCCTGGGCCTGGGGCTCCTGCCGGGGCCTGCCTGGCTCGTGGCTGGGCATGGGCCAGGGACACGTGGTGGGTGGGGCTGGCCCTGACTAGGCGGGGAGCCCTCCTGGCCACGGTGGGCAGGGCAGAAGCTGGGTGGGGAACTCTGGCGAGAAGCGTGTCCTCAGGGTGGCGTCTGGACGCCAGCCCAGCTCTGCCGCCTGTTCTCTGTCCCCACCTGCCCTCTTGCTCTACATCTCGGCCTGGCCCTGCCTCCCAGGTTACTGGCTCCTCCTCTGTTTTCATTCGGGAGTGACTCAAGGTGACACAGTGCTAGGTGGGCAGCAGGGGTGGGACACCCACGTCTCGTCTGGCCCCTGCCACACACTCTAGTAACCCCCTGCTCCCGACCGGGGCCCGGGGCACTGCCAGCCCTGCACTTTCTGTCCAGCCTGGGGGCCTGTCTGCACCAGGGTCTGTTTTCTGACTCACCTGCCTTTCTCCAGGTGTGGCCTGCTTGGCGAGGGCTCCTGTGTGTTTGAACCAGACACGTGCGTGGCTGGGTGTGACGAGGCGTCAGGCCTGGTTGGAGGGTGTAGGCAGGAGGCCGCAGCCAGATGTGCCTCCTTGACTGTGAGCAAGCACATGGAGGTGTTTTTGACAACAATGAAAAGATAGCACAACTTTTCTGCCAGAGGCGCGTCAGGCATCTGAGTAAGGCCTTGTCACTACAGTCTCTGCCTCCTCTCTCTGTTCTCACCTTCCCCGGAGTTGGTGCTGAAGTGGGCTGGCGCCCAGCAGGGGCCGGAGAGAAACTGAGGACATGGGCCGGCAGCCTCTAAGTGATTTCACAAGCATCTGGCCCCACCTCAGGCCTGGGCGGGCGGGCCTCTGGCTCTCCTGGGTTACCTGTGTCATCCCAGCCCCTCCTGCTGAAGGACAGTCAGAGAGCCACCACCTCAAACAGAGCCGCTGGCAGCCAGACCAGGGAAGGCACGAGCCCCCGGGAGCTGTCCGCTGGTTTCCAGTTGCTGTGTCCCCTGGGCTCAGCCTGTGTACAGCCGCAGGGCAGCCCGGCCCATGTCCCCTCTCCTGCTGCAGTCCCAGCGGGAACACCGTCTCTGTGTCTCCCTTCACTTCCTAGGTTACCATGAAAATGGCGTGGTGAAAGCCGAGAACGGAACCTCCCCACGGACTAAGAAACTCAAGTCTCCTTGAGGCCAAAGTGCTGGGAACAGGAATCCTCCGGCGGGGCCCAGCAGGGCGGCGGGAGCCCGGCCTCCATCCCTGCCTCCCGCTTCCAGCCCTGGACGCTCCTCCTCCAACAGCAGGAACCTGTCCTCCAACAGGGCTTTTCCTCTGTCTTACTTCTTGGCTTTCTCTTTTTCTTCTTCCATAAACCATTCTCAATAAAACCAAAAGCCTTCCTCTTTCTCTCCCTCAGGCCACCTCATGTCCTCACCTCTGTCCTGGGTTGGGTTTTCTAGAAGCCCAGCTTCTCATGGTTAGCGTTCTGCTCACCTCCTCTTTCTCTTCCTTCACGGCTGCTGCCTTCTCTTTTTACTTCTTCATTTCACTGTATCGTGCAATCTCTCTGTGTCTGATTTTTACAATGAGAGGGAGCTGAGACTGCGCTCCTGGCATCCAGCACCCAGCGTCATTGCCGGGACCTGTCAAAGTCTGAAACCTTGTGCCAAGGAGCCTCCGCCTGGGGCCGGTGGCAGGCCCCCCAGTGGTCCCCGTGCGGATGGGCAGGAAGAGGAGAGACCGGCCCTCTTGGATCACGATCTCCTAGGTGCTGATTAACTGACGAGATGTGTGGTTCCAGTTCTGCACGCGCCGTCTTGAGGCCCCGCAGTGCCACTGCTGGTTGTAAATGCCAAGGCCTTTGGCTTCCGGGCAGGACGGCTCGGTCCAGAGGATGGTGTGAACTGCCCTGGGTCCCATGACTCGAGACAGCTTACTGGGGGGCTGGTCCTGGCCTGGGAACTAGCCTGCTCTCGCTTTGTCGGGGAGGCACCGCAGGAAGAGAGGTTGCCCACTCGAGAGCGGGAGCAAGCGGACTGAGCAGCAGGCTCTTCTGGAAAGGTGACAGCCGCGGAAGTGGTGGTGGAGTCGCCCTGGGCCTTTCTTCAGCAGCCTCGGCTGCTCTTCAACCATTCACCAGCATTCGGAAAACCAGATCAGACCGCAGTTAACCGACCAGCCTGGGATCTGCTGGTCCTGAGCCCCAGCCCGGCCGGGCCTGCTCCCCGACTTCTCTCTAGCTGCAGGAACACTAAGCCCCACGCTGGCCCCCTGGTGGCCCAGGGAGGGTCACCTGGGCACTCACCCTCTGGACTCACTCGTTGAGTGTTCTTTGGAATTGTCATCTGCTGATGTTTGCTGGGCCCACCGGCAGCATTTAGACCGCATGATACCAGGGCTCACTCAGAGTCGCTCTGCTGGCTTGGGAGCAGACACAGCTGTACCCATAGGAGGTTTCTGCGCCGACCCTCACACATCCCTCCCCTCCCTCCACCCAAAGACAAGGCCCCAGGTCCTTATGGTGCCTGGGGAGTACTTCCAGAAGGGGAGTTAGGCTTTCAGGGGTCCTAATTAAGAACTCTTGAACTCTGTGCTGAGGCGAGGGGCAGCAGTTCTTGGTGGGCACAGGACTATTAGTGTCATTTGATGTGCTGGTCCCCTTTCTGATGTCACAGGAGAAACCAAACCTTGGATTCTTACCCAAAAGGGGGGAAACGGGTCTTTTCTTCAAGGCAGCTCCCCTTTTCCATGTCACAGAGATCAATTCTCCAGTGGCTGAGGGATTTGTCACCTAACACCATTGTAGACCCTCCTCTCTGTCCACGATCAGGTGGCAGAAATGGGAAGGACTACCCCTGGCTTCTTCTGATCACCGTTAGGAAAATATACACTTCTCCCATCCTGCCCTCTTCTCCCTGATGCTTCTCTGGGCACCAAAGCAGAATGTCGGTCAAAGGGTGCATTGGTCTCACCCCAGCAGACCGAGCTGGACCCCCTTAGTCATTTCAGTCTAACAGCCCTGACGTGGCTGGAGTTGAGTTCACACCCCCCGCCTTGCCTGGTGACCGCTAATGGAGGGGGTGTTCAGCCAGTGGCCGCCTCAGCCCGCCCGGCAGCCTGGCTGTCCATCCCAGTTCTGTCCAGCCTGTATCCTGGACAGGCGTGCCTGCGCCCGGCGGCAGGCTGCCCCCCAGGTGTGCCCCAGGGTGCCTGCTGAGTCAGGCCTTCAGCAGGTACCGAGTCCATGGCTTGCGGGCGGGTGCTGCGGGCAGGGAGGTGGTGACAGCTGATGTCATGCCATCAGGCAGCTGCCCTTCTTGTGTATGAGGGTGGTGGTTGCCGGAGACCACATGGCTTCATGTTCCTAGGTCTCCTGCAAGCCCCTGGCTCTGCAGGGTAGTGCGCCTCGGAGGTGGTACCACCGATCCAGGGGCCGGGCGACGCCCGCTCTGTTCCTGGAGGACGGGGTTTGTTTGGTGATGAGAGTCAGGAAAATCTTTGCTGCTGTGTAAAAACCCCTGAGACTGAGTAAGGCTAGCAGCTCACCAGCAGGGCTTCAGGAGTGATTTGCGAGGAGAGAGGGCAAGGGGGAGGTTGTAGGGTCTTTGTCACCCCACCAGCATTCCTGGCACATTTATTGCAGAGCAGAGCCAAGGCTTTGGCAGTTTGGCTCAAACCATGTTGCCAGGGGCCCAGACAACTCAGTTCCACTTCATCCTGAGCCTGGTGGGCTGGCTTGGCTGGATTTGGCCACTCTGGCTGTTTTCTTCTGTCCCAGACACTCTCCTGTTCCCAAAGTGCCGAGCCGTCTGTGAAGGCCCTGCCAGACCCCTCCAGCTTGAGAGGCCACTCAGCGCCACCCGCCAGGAGCAGGCGAACAGATGCTAATCTACCTCAGCAACTGCTGCCTCTCAGCATCGCTGACCGGCCCAGGCGGGGGAAGCGGGCAGGTGGCAGTGGTGGGAGAACGAGGATCCCGTGCTGCCCACTCCCCTCCTTGGAGGTTCGGTGATGGGAAGGTTATTTTTACCATCCAGTCCCTGATAGCTGTACTATTAATCAGTTACATTTGTTCCTTTTGAAGGTAGGGAAGGTTCTGGGGAGAGCCGAGGAGATGTGCTTCTCTCCCATTCTAGTCAATTCTAACCCTATGTGTGTCTGGGCCACCAGACCCAAACTGTTGCTGAGAACCTTTTCCGTTTCTGTCCCGAGGCGGAACTTAACATTTCAGAAACCAGAGCAGACGTCTGCGCTCTGGCCACCGCTGCAGGTGCTTCTCGTGGCTGGGATCCCTCGGACCCTAGAAAGCCCTGAAGCCTGGGTTGGCTGTCCCAGGAGTGTGCGCATCTGGCTTTTCTTTTGGGACCTTCTTCCTCAGCACCCTTTGACTTTTTTCTAAGTGGCAAATATGAGGTAGGGGCAGAGAGTGCACCCCCTCCCACAGTTCTGCAACAGAAAATTCTATTCCCTGGAGGCCCTTTTCTTTTGCAGCGGCTTGCTGACCCCATGTGGCTGGGGAAGGCTTGGCGTGGATTTCCTTCGTGGCTTCAGCCTTCCCGGGTGGTTTTTCGTAGGCCTAGGGTGAGAGAAGGTGGGGTGGTCTGGACGTAAAGGCCCTGCGTGAGGGCCTGGTGTCACAGTGAGCAGACTTCCATTCCTGACCTTCCAGGCCCCTGTCCTTCTCTAACGGCGAGCGTGCTGAAGGCTCATGAGTCAGGATGGCTGGGTGGTCTTGCTTCCCTCCTGCTGCCTTCCCAGCGCTCAGCCCTGTTCCTCAGGAGGGACTCTGGGCATGACTGGGGAGCTGGGTCATTGTCAGATCATTTGAAAACCTAAAGAAAATCCCTCTCCTGCCCAGGGTTGGCCAATGAGGAAGCCTTCACTAACCTCCTCCCACTCTTTACCCCGTTCTTGGTTCTCACATGAATATCAACTGCTCCTCCCAAAAGGCTGAAAAAGACCCCTCCCCTGCTGCCCCCCACCCCCTACACTTTTCCCAGAGGTCTCAGAGAAGCACCAGGACATCGGGACTTGCTGGCTCTGTGTGGCCTCTTGCTCGGCAACCCCGGCGAGTGTTTGTCGTAAGCAGATCCTTTTTCTTTTGGTGTAAGAAGTGCCTTACTTGCTGGGTGGTCTTCAGCCTTCCCTTGTGCTGTATGGCCTGCCCCCAGCTGCCATGTGTCATGTGCAGCCAGGGACACCAGACCTGGTACTGTTACATGTAAAAGAGACACGGATTGTGAGAGTTACGCCTCATTCGTCTCCCCCTGTTGTGTTGGGTCTGTGGTGTGTTCTCTGTGTTGTTTCTGGTTTCTCCCTTGTGTCAGTTTTCTGTGGGGCCCATCGGCAGGCACCTGTGCCTCCTGCCTATTAAGGGAAGCCGGGGGCACCAGCCCCCCTGGGCCTCTGGCCCCACGCGGTGAGCCCTGCTGTTCCAGCTCGCCCCACGTTAAAAGAAAAGGCAGCCTTGCGATAACCTCTTCCCATCTCCCTTGCTTCCCATTCAACCCAAAGTTGGTATGATAAAGGTGTGTACTTCTACTTCCAAGTCACCAGTGTTAAGTCGTGGATGCCCATGTGATGGTGGGTCTGGTTTGGCTGTTGCAGAACTTCCTGGAGCTCCTCATTCAGTGTCACCGCGTGTTGGCAGCAGCTCCCCGGTCCCCTCCTGGCCTGCCTTTTCCTTGCTCTTCCGGGTTGTGCAATAACTCTCCCAGCCAGTGGTCCTTTCCACAGGCCTCGCTGCCCCTTACAACGCCCTGCAACTGGGGAGGGAAGGGACCCACGGGAGGGGTGGTGGTCATCCCCTGCAGAAGACACGTCAGCCACTTTCCCTTTGTTGCTGTCATTCTCGTGAGCCTGGCTGGGTTTCTGTGGCACTCTAGTAGAACATTGTAGCATCATCTTAGAAGTCCATCTATTTTTCAAAAATCTGTTGAAAAGGAAAAAAACCATCCTCATGATGGGGCATTAATAAGTCAGCATCTGGGAATAAGATCTGTTTTGACACCCGAGACATCACCATCACTCTGGCTAAGAGCATTCTGGAGTTTCTAGTTCATGTGGAGAGGGAGGAGATTTCCCTGAGAATCAGCCCCGCGTGGACAGCCCTGTCCACCTGGTAGGATCTGGCTGTGACTAAGTACCGCCGTGTCCTTGGGTACAGATTCGAGTGTTTATGTGACGAGATGATAAACCTCATTTTTCAGTTCCTCGTGTTTCATGAACATCTGAAGGATGAGCTGAGGCTGCTGGTGTCCTGAGCAACTCGTAATGCAAACGTGGACAGACTGTCTTTGTTTTCCACTTTAGCCTGTTCATGTTATGGACCAAATTTCAACAAGGAACTCAAGGAAAACTTGTACGTGCCATATTTATGCTTTCATGTCAAAGGGTTTTGGGGGGGGACTTTTTACTTTCAGTGAACTTTTTTCAAAATCCTTTTTCAACTGTTTCTGTCTGGTTTTAAAAGAAATTACAGTTTTGTATGGATTTTTTTTAACGTACATTTTGAAACAAAGGATCAGCAAATATTTTTGAAATAACTGAATAAAAGGCATAGAATTATCAGTCTAATTGTCTCTGGTATAATTCCTTATGTTCCTTTTTAAATCTGGATGCTTCATTTGCTTTTACTTGAAAAATGAGGTCGCATCAATTTTAGCCTCATTTCTAATGCTTTTCACTATATTAGTCTTTTCTTGTATATCTTTTGAGATATAGTTGTTCATTGTGGTCACATGAATTAGGGTGTTGGAATTAAGGATGGAGAAAGAGTTGGTATATTGAGTGCTGGGAGTAATAGGCATCATTTTACATGGTCTATAACGGTGAAGTATGAGAGTGGGAAGTTGTCTTGGCGTGGATCTGTGGGTAGGAAGCACCCCATGCTTTATGGCTACTGTATAATGAGTCATCTGGCTAGGAGAGGATGGGATTAAGTAAGTGTGTGTGTAAAAGCCACCACATATTAGTGTCGGTGCTGAATAGAAGACGTCCAAGTGTTCGTAATAATGGTGAGCATTGCTGGTGTCATTGCCCTGCTGTGTTCTCCAGAACCATCTTTAGAGATGAGAGCAGTTACAGGCAGCAGCTAGCAAGGACCCCCCCCGCCCCAGGGTCTGAGGATTAACCAGCAAACGCTGACGGGGGTGCAGGGGCGCGGTACTATCAGAGGGCGAGCTTTGGTGTGGAGTTGGGCTGCAGCCCTGCTCTGCCGTGAGAAGCCGGCTGACCTCCAGCAGCTCGTCTTCCCGAGCCTGTTTGTTCCTCTGTGTTCTACAGCTCTGCAGGGTGGTTGGTTTGCCTGCTTGCTTGCTTTTGCAGAGAGTGGTGGGGATAGATTTAGGGATAGTGAATGCTAAGTTCATGGTACAAATAAAGCACTCAATAAATTTTTTTTAATGAACATACTCATGTGCTAGCAGGATGTAGAGGAGTCACTCACCCAAGTGCCCCTTGATTCTCCGGAAACAACATTTAGAGACATCTTCTCTACCTCTTGGTCCCAAATACCCTCAAAGCCTGTAGATATGGGTTGTATATACCCTAATCAGATGGTATTTTCAAGGCTCCCTGGTGGTACAGACAGAGTCCAGGCCCAGGGCCTGAGGAGTGGCTAACCCTCAGCCAGTCTTCACCCACAGGCAGATTTTACTAGCCCTGAACCCATAAGCCACCCTAAAGCATCCTAACAACACAGCCTTCAGTTAGAGCCACTACCGTAGCTACTGGCATGCCTCGGTTCACACACTAACAAACAGGTGATGCTACTTCTGTCTCGGCTCCCGGGGGGCCCCTTCAAAAGAGCGTCATTTCTTCTTCCCACGGTATTGCTGCTGCAGGCTAGTGCTCGGCTCCCTTCCATCCCCTGAGCCAGGACTCCAGGTGCATGCCAGGTGTGGCTATAGCATAAGGTGGCAAAAGTGACATCCAGTGGTTGCACTGCCATTGGTTGCACTGCGATTCAGGATCTCAGCAGGAGAAGTGATTAGCTCTGACGTTTGTGGCTCCTACGCTTGCCCGCCTTGTATCAACTAGTGAGTGCCGACACCACAGAGATGACCTGCTGGCTCTGGTCTTCTGTGCAGTAGCTTTTATACCTTGTGGTGGTGCTGGCAGATCTCAACTTCTCCACCTTGGGTAAATCTGGAAGGTGAGGAGTGGACAGCCAGCTTAAGGCATACATGTGGATGGTGCCAAGCTTATTTAAGAACAGGTCAGACACTTCTAACAATTACAGTGGGGCTGAATTTTAATGCTGGTCCCCATTACAGTGGAAAAGGTATAGGAGGAGAAAAGTAGAAAAGATGTCAGAACTGAGGTCAGAAGGGCTGTGAGCACTTGCATCTCCAAGGCTGGGTAAGAGGATGTTAAATGAGACTTTTTCCCAAGGTCTCGAATTTCAGTTAAGGACAAAAATTGGCAAGCGTCTCTGTATGCTGCAGATTGGTGCAGATCATGAAAGCCTTGCTGAAGAGGGGCCCAAGCTTCTGCAAATGTCCCTCTTCCACAGGAGCCAGGGGTGATGGAGAAATTACTGGAGAGTGTGGCTTTCTTGAAAGGAGCTGTCAGAGCGCTGTGGGTCCTGAGGGAGGTGCACTAACAGACTCGGGGCTTGACGTGGGTCCCCTGGAGCTGGGCGAGCACAAGAGTCTGGGTGCCTGAGTCTCACCTAAAACGTCTCAAGGAGAGGGCCTGGCTGAGCTGCCTACCTGCACAGCCAAGAGAGCAATCTAGAAGGAAATGTGAGCAAGAGTGGATGCCCCTAGAGGCGAGTGGCCTGATGGGCCCACCCGACCAAGAGGAGCTCAGAGGGTGAGAAGGAGCCCGGGGCAAGGGTCTGTTAGAGTGGGCAGTCAGTCTCTGAGAACAGTCCCAAGAACTCACAGAAAAGGTGCCCTGGGAGAGAGCGAGCCAGCCTTCAGGCACAGGCCACTCAGAGGGCCCTGACCCAGATTATGACTTTACCAGCCGCAGAAATAAGACTTTGCCCTTTTCCCGTTTCTACCCCTCAACCCTCCCCGACACTACAAAGGTCATAAACAGCAGTATGGCTGAGTGGGGGCGAAGGGAGCAGAAACCGGAAGAAGAAACAAACCCACCACACCTGCCCCACCACACACGCTACAGGCTTCCACGCTTGGGGCGGGACTGAGCTGGGGCAGGCAGGATAGAGCTTAGTATTTTTATTTTAGACTGAAATGGACTTTTAAATACCTAAAAATTATTTTTTTTATTGTGAAATTTTTGGTGTATATTATTGTTTATCAGTCACCATGTTTAAGTGCATCCCTCCACCCCAGAGCCCCCTAGCCCCTGGTAACCACCAAACAGTTCTATCTGTGTGTGTGTTGGTTTATCTTCCACATATGCATGAAATCATGCACTGTTTGTCTCTCTCTTTCTAGCTTATTTCACTTATAATACCCTCCAGGTCCATCCATGTTGTTGCAAATAGGACGATTTTGTCTTTCTTTAGGGCTGAGTAGTATTCCATGGTATATATATACCACATCTTCTTTATCCAATCATCAGTCGAGGGACACTCGGGTGGCCTCCATGTCTTGGCTATAGTGAATAATGTTGCGGTGAACATAGGGGTGCATAAGCCTCTTTGGATTGTTGATTTCAGGTTCGTTGGGTAGATACCCAGTAGTGGGATAGCTGGATCATAAGGTATTTCTATTTTTAAAAATTAGTTTTTTTAACAGTTTTTAATAGTTATGAGTGACTAGGGAAAACCAAACAAAACCTGGTTATTCTTGAGATATCAACCTGGAGCAGAAAAGGAGGAGTCACCTAATGCATGTGCAGCCCTCTTCAGAAGCTGGTAGAGGTGGCTTGGCTCATCAGGAGAGGAAAAATCAAGGGACGTTCTGCACGAGTTCAGAGGGCCAGGCGTCCGGGTCCTATGTAACTCCATCCTCGTTTATACCACTTGTTAGGTGGCAGGGAGGAGTCTGAGATGGCATTTATTAAGATGAAGTTGGTGGCTGCCTTCACCTAGGGAGCAGCCCTGCTTCTGAGAACTCTGTCAGCTCATTAGAAAACCAGTCACTGCTACTAGTCTTTTCCTCCCATCTCAAGGCCAGGCTCTCTAAATGCAGAGTTTTTCTAAAAAATTTTTTTTTACTACAATCTACATCAAGAAATACATTTTACATCATGACCCAGTAAATACATACTCAGTTGAAACAGAAGTTTCACCCTACTTCTGTTGGGTGAAACAATACATACCCTACTGTGTGTACACACTCTGATATTTTCTCTTCTATTCCACTTTTTAAAAAATACAGGTCCTACTTATGGCCCTAGCACCACAGTTTGAAAAATGTGGTGTATTTCCCTACAATACTAGGGCGAGCAGGCAGTTGGGGGGTGAGGGCATTGGTACCAGCAATACTGGGACTGTGTGCTTATTTCCAACAACCCAAATGATGCTTCTAGCAAATGCTATCTTTCTTCCTGCTCTTAATCATTGTAAACCTGTATTAGGGTTCTCCAGAGAGACAGAACCAATAGGATGTATATATAGAGAGAAAGAGATTTATTATAAGGAAATGGCTCACGCAATTATGGAGGCTGACAAGTCCCAAGATTTGCAGTCAGCAAGCTGGAGACCCATGAGAGCGATGATGTAGTTCCAGTCCAGTCCGAAGGCCTGAGAACCAGGAGAGCTGATGGTGTTGTACAGTCCAAAGGCCAGCAAGCTTGAGACCCAGGAAGAGCCGATGCTTCAGTTTGAGTCCGAAGGCAGGAAAAAGCTGATGTCACAGTTCGAAGACAGGCAGGAAGAATTCTCTCTTACTTGGGAAAGGGTCAGCCTTTTTATTCTATTCAGGCCTTTAATGGACTGGATGAGGTCCACCAACTGGGGAGGGCAATTTGCTCAGTCTACCAATTCACATGTTAATCTCATCCAAGAAGGTCCTCACAGACACACCCAATATAGTGTGTGACCAAATATCTAGGCACCCATGGTCCAGTCAAGTTGACACATAAAATTAACCATCATGACACCCCCACCCCTTCCTCCCTAAATAAGGCACCAATCTTAGCTCCTACAAGACCCAGTTTAATTTAGACTTCAGTAGTAGGGAAACAGAAGAACCAAAAAAGAAATACAATTTCAAGAGCTCCGTAAATGCTTCTATAAAGGGTACAAGGTATATTTCAAAGTGTAGGTCCAACCTCAAAAAACTGTACTGCATTCTCTCAGCAGCAGGTCAGTTGGAGAAAGCACGAACAAAGTTATAGTAGTCGATCTTGTCTTCTCCGTGAGAGCACATCCTGATTAACTGCAGAGAGAGCAGAGAGAGCAGTGAGACAGACACGCAGGGCTGCCCTCTGCTTAACTGCAGCGCGCTTATTAATCATGATCCCCAGCCTTTGTACACCAGCTCCGAGTCTTTATATCCTCAGTTGAATTCTGAAATGATCCTGTGAAATGATCCTGTCAGACATCATCCCCATCTTACACTTTATGAAATCAAAGCTCAGATGGAGTGAGTGGCCTGCCCAGGATTTCAGGACTAACATTTGTATTTATAAGGACATTGTCATTTCCAAAGCACTTTTAATTTTTTTTATATTCAAATACAAGACTTTTCCACCCACTTTGTGCACAGTAAGACTCTTTAAAATAGCACGTTGCTGTTATCACAGCCTAATACCTAGTAGAAGAACCTAGTTATGTCACTGCTCAAACCACGTCCCCTGAAACTCTGCTGTGAGTGGTGGTAGACTGATCTGCTCTGGTGCCTTCATGACATGTGCAAATCCATCCCACCCACGCCTTTCCTTGCCGACTTCCCACTGATGGCAATTCCTCTCTCCCATATCAGGTCACAGATAGTACAAATGACTTAAAAATCAAAATCTGGGCATGCGGTCATTAGAAATTTGGGAAGCTAAATGGGTGTTTGGCCACGTGGACCAATACCTTTCTATCTGCCTCCCCCGCTCCTTGCTAATGTTCTGTCTACAACAAATTCTTGTCTCTACCCTAGTCACTCTAGGCCTACACAAAAGCCTTCTCTACATGAGTCTTAACTTCTGAACATTCTTTCTGCTCCAAGATCTTTAAGAAGGTCTACAGTAGCACCTCAGTGTTCTTAATCGGTGAGAATGTCTCAGTGGTAATAAGCCACAGTCGTTGGCAATTGTGGGAGAAACTTTGTTCTGACTTTTAGGGAAACCCTTTTTATAATAAAAAAGGCATGAAACGCCCTCTTCAACTCATTCAGTGAAAATTCTAGGAGGAGAATGTCTGTGTCGTTCCTCCGTGTGCAGCTGGCCATGTGTCCCTGGGCAGCGGTCATGCCCTCTTCCATGCTGGCCCTACTGATGGGCTGTGACAGGTGTCAAAGGCTGCCCGCCAACATGTTCAATCCAGCTGCCTTTGAGTCCCCCTTGGCAGCTGCCCCTCCATAATCACCTCTGCTGCCCTCCTTCTGCCCCGATATGTTCACCAGCCACTCTGTGCTGTCCAGCCCCACACCCCCTTAAAGAGATGCCCTGCAACAGCAACTAGAGAGGAACACCAGTGCTAGCGTCAAGGGGAAATACTATAATTGGGATAGACTAGGAGATCTGATTTCACCACCCTCGATCTTCCTCTGTTAAAACGAAATACACATGCAACTGCCTTCAGGAGAGAATGAACGGCACTCAGCCTCTGCGATCCACCCAGGAGTAACTCGAACTGACCTCCTTGATCAAGGAATCATCAACTGGGACGTTAAGAGAGTCACAGATTTTAAAGAACATCTCTTTGTCCACATATCCTGAAGCTTCCTTGTCATAAACTTGAAATGCCTCACGAATGCCGTCTTTGCATGGATGATCCTTCAGCTGCTTCTGGATTGTGTCTATTAATGCTTCCAGTTCTTGCACGCCTGGATCCACTTCAGTCTGCTTGCTGTAGAGAAAGGAAGAAAATGACTGGACAAGGTATTTATTCTTGACCTATCTTGGTGACCAAAGTTCTCACTTGGTGAAGTCGGGGAAGCTTCTAATGAGAAACAGCTTTGATGCTGAGCAGCCCAGTAACTGAACACTTGCCTGCAGGGGCTGGCTGATGGCTGACCCCCACATCAGGAAGGCCTGACTAGGGGCAGCTTTTGAACTGAAGCTCAGCCTCCCCTGCTGCCATCTGTTAAATCACTGCACCACAAGGAGCAAAATCCACCACCACCGCCGCCCGAGTTCCTTGTTTGTGGGGTCACACGACTGCCTGGTAATGCCATTGCAGACCTACATCCTCCATGTTACATCGTCTAAAAACAAATGTCTGAGTTTAAAAAATATTTAACTGTAACTCTGCAGTCAGGAATCTCTTGCATTTTTAACATCCCCTCTCCGATTTCACTCTGCATTTTGTGGAAGGCTATCTATGGAAGTTAAGAGACTGCCCCATGTGATGGGCTGAGAAGTTTAGGCCTAGTATTTACTGAAATGAATGGAGACTGGTAACCCCGAGCATTAGGAAGAGGGAGGTCTATCCCTGCAAATCACAACCAAGAGAAGCAGAAGCCTGATCTTTATTTCCTCTGAACATGAAGGTACAATTATAAAATTAAAGAATTTTAGAGCTGGAAAGGATTCTCTCATGTTTCATCCTCATAAATCCATTTGGGAACAAAATGAGGCCCAAATAAACTCAGTAAGCTCTCCTCCCTTTTTCAACGATGAGAAAACAGACTCAGTGACTTATCCCAGATCTCATGTCAGAGGCAAGACCAGAACAGACACCTCACTCGCGTTCTAACGTGTTCTCTCCAGTCCGCCCAACCACCTCTCAATGACCCCTCTCCTTCCATTCGTGCACAATACCAACGCACTAGTGCTTCTTTGTTCCTAGTTTTTCTTATACATAATATTTAAAACAGTTCACTGTTTCAAATAGCCTTTTCACTCATTTCCCTTTTTACCTGCTGGTGATTCTTGCTGGAGGAGGAATAAAGTGGTAACCTTTCAGGAACAATTTGGAAACATGAAGCAAAAGCCCAGCAAAGAATTTCAAATAATTTATCCTAAGGAAATAATCAGAAGTTGTATACAAAGACACATCTATAAAGCTATTTTGAGACAACCTAAATGTCCAAAAAATTGTCCAAAAATCAGGAATTGGTTAAATAATATACACTGCAATCAGGCAATATAATAACACAGCATTGACAATGTTGCAGAAACCGTAGAAAGATAAATTGTTAGTGAGAAAATTAAGGTGCACAACTGTGTGTAGAATGCTACCTTTTGTGTAAAAGTTGTGGAGGGAATGGGAATATCTATTTAAATTTGCTTATATTGTGCAAAGAAACTCTGAGAAGATATTCAAAAACCCATGAAAGAGGTAGTTACCTACAGAGAAGGGAGGATAACAAGTAGGCAGATGGAAGATGAGGTGGGAGCAAAGCTTTTCATTGGTCCCTTCATATATATATATAACCCACGTGAATATAACACCTACTCAAAAATTATCAGTGCCCCATAAAATATTTCACGATATCAGAAATGTTCATGATATACTATACAGTGAACAAAGCTGGTAAAATGTTATTACAGAATTATTTCATTTTATATACATATTAAAACAAAATATTAGAAGTAGTGATCTCTGGGTTATGGGATTTTAAGAAATATTTTTGCTTATTTCTATTTGTATTTCCTAAATTTGTACTCCCTTAATGTTTTTATTCTGGGCATGTATTACTTTTGTAGTAAGACAAAAACAACAAAAATTGTAATAAGACTCTCCAGTGTCAAAATGCTATCTGGCATTATTTATTATAGAAGCAGAATATGTTTATCTGATGGGTATAACTCCAACCATATACACTAAATTATGAATGACTGCCAGGGAGCTATTTTAGTGGCAGAAAGCAGTCAAACCTCAATGTTCCGTATCTCCCCAGGAGTTAGAGCCAGGGAGCATATAAATTTAAAATGTGATCATCCAATCATTTCGTGAAAGAGAAGATAACTCCTGTTCCCTGAAGAAGCCAGATACCCATACTGCTTCATACAACAGGGGACATGCCCGCGGCAATCTGCTGCCTTTGAGTAAGATGGAGTCAATTCAGAGAGAGCTTGCAACAGGTGGTACTAATGGAGACAGAGCTAGTTAAAGTTACAGCCCCCACACTATTGTGAGGCCCAAGCCACAGCCTGTTGTGGGGGAGAGCTGCAAGACCCAGGGTAAGGTTTGTTCCACAGGTTAACAAGGGAACACAGGGGCTGGCTGGTAATCCATAACAGGGACTACCAACTGAGAGAGGTGGCTGGATTCCCAACATGCTAGGTGCAGACTCCGTGAAGGCCCTCTAATGCCCCTCCTTTACTTTCCATAAACGCAAACGTGAATTTTATAGGGTGATTCGTCTCTCACAGGCAAGAGAGACGTCATGGTCTTCAGTCCACTCTTAGAATATTTTCCTACAAGCACTCGGGCAAAGCCCTCCGCTTAGCAAGAACTAAATGGAATTCACATATTTTCTTAAAAAGCAAACAATCTTGTTCTTTCTTTATTACAGTTTTTTTCTTTTGTTTTTGGTGGTGGGCAACTCTTTGATACCAACAATGTGCTAAAACTCTAAAGTGTGGCCATTTCGATCGCAGAGGTTCAGCGTCGACCCCTTGGCCTAACCTTATCCTTGATCCATAATCCAGGGCCTCCCCTTTGCCCCAGTGAAGGTAAAGCCACTCCCAGGACAGGCAGTCATTTGCCTAGAGCGCTTCAGGCAGTCAGGGAGCTGAATAAGAACATCCCCGATTTCTGGGTGCTTTTCTTTGGTGAGGCAGAACAAATTGTAGTTAAGAGTACGGGCTCTAGAATCTACCTGGTTCAAAATCTCAGCTTTGCCACTTAAAGACTGCATGATGTTGAGTAGATTCTTAACTGCTCTGTGCTTCAGCTTCCTTATCTGTAATACATTAGTTTTTAAGGGAAGCCACCTCATAAAGATTGTTGTGAGAATTAAATGAGTTATTACATATAAAGTACTTAATGCCTGACATAGCAGACACACACAAATGTTAGCTTTGAACAAAGTTCATTTGACAGTCCTAGTAGAAATAGTCATTCACTCATCTAACAACTATTAATTGAACATGTATGGCTCAATGCTAGCTTTAGAATAAACTGTTGAGTGTAACAAGGAACCTGTTTTTAGTAAGGATCCCTGCTCTCCAGAAGGGGAGTTAAGACACAGACTTTAAAATCGCTAACAGATGGGAGAAAAATGACCATTACCATTTTTTTTGTGTGTGTGTGAGAGAGATCAGCCCTGAGCTAACATCCATGGTAATCCTCCTCTTTTTTTTTGCTGAGGAAGACTGGCCCTGAGCTAACATCTATTGCCAATCCTCCTCCTTTTTTTTCCCCAAAGCCCCCCAGTAGATAGTTGTATGTCATAGTTGCACATCCTTCTAGTTGCTGTATGTGGGACGCGGCCTCAGCATGGCTGGAGAAGCGGTGCGTCGGTGTGCACCCGGGATCCGAACCCGGGCCGCCAGCAGCGGAGCGCGCGCACCCAACCACTAAGCCACCGGGCCGGCCCGACCATTACCATTTTAAGAGAGGTACAGAGGATGAGAGGATCAGGAAGGGCTGATCTAGGAGGTAGCATTTGACCTAGGCCTTGAAGGATGTGAGGGCTTAGACCTGTAGAACGAAATAAAGGAACTGCAGACAATGGGAACAGCCTGGAAAAGTCATGAAGAAAGGAATGCTTGAGGTTAATATAATAAACCTGTTTGTCTGGAGGGCAGAGTGTGCAGAAAGGTAAGCTAGAACTCTCAGTCAGATGGTCATTTGGAGCCACACTATGGAGGTTCTTGGATATCAGACTAAGAACTTTAGAATTTTGTTTTTAAGTGATGACAACCTCTTAAAAGTAATATAATCAAGAAATCAAAGAGAATCAAAAGGGAAATCAAAAAATATTTTGAAATAAACAAAAATGGAAATACAATATACCAAAACTTATAGGATGTAGCAAACACAGTTCCAAGAGGGAATTTTATAGTGATAAATGCCTACATTAAGAAAACAGATTTCAAATAAACAACCTAACTTTATATTTCAAGAAACTAGAAAAAGAAGGAAAAAACTAAGCCCAAAGTTAGCAGAAAAAAGGAAACAATAAAGATCAGAGCAGAAATAAATGAAATAGAGACAAGCAAAATGATAGAAAAGATCAACAAAACTAAGCTGTTTTTTTAAAAAGATAAACAAAATTGACAAACTTTTAGCTAGACTAATTAAGAAAAAAAGACAGAAGACTCAAAATCGGAAATGAAAGGGGAGACATTACAACTGACACCACAGAAATAGAAGGATCATAAGAGACAACTATGAACAATTATATATCAACAAATTGGATAACCTTGGAAAAAAGGATAAATTCCTAGACATGAACAAACAAAAAATTCCTAGAAACATACAACCTGCCAAGACTGAATCATGAAGAAATAGAAAATTTAAACAAATCAATAACAAGTAAGGAGATTGAATCAGTAATCAAAATTCTAACAACAAAAAAATACCCAGGACCAGATGGCTTCACTGGTGAATTCTACCAAACATTTAAAGAAGAATTAATACCAATCCTTCTCAAACTCTTCCAAAAAACTGAAGAGGAGGGAACACTCCCAAATTCATATTGCAAGGCCAGCACTACCCTGATACTAAAGCCAGACAAAGACACTACAGGCAAAGAAAATTACTGGTCAATATCCCTGGTGAACATAGATGCAAAAATCCTCAACAAAATACTAGCAAACCGAATTCAACAGAACATTAAAAGGATCACACACCACGATCAAGTGGGATTTATCCTTGGTATGCAAGGATGGGTCAACATACACAAACCAATATATGTGATACACCACATTAACAGAATGAAGGATAAAAATCAT